AACATTAGTGATTTAGTGGGATAGGAATTATATTAAAAAACAAAAGAAGATCACTGAAGCTGAATTTTTTCTTTTGTCTTTTAATGTATTCCTTTGTCACTAAATTACTAATGTTCTAATATCGCATGACAACGTCCTTGCAAGTAGGTGTAAATTCATTGTTAATTGTTTGATAAACTTGTTTTTACGAGAGAATGCATGACTGAAATCACGACCCACGAGAAACTACAGCTGTGTCGATTATCTTTGCACTAAAGCGACCAACGCGACACTCATGCAGGGGCTCGTATTTCTACTGAGCTAACAGTGTAGTGCCACTGTTAGAGTGCTCGTGAAATCTTTTGCACTAAATCAGAGTACAAAATAATGCATTGTCTAGAGTGCATACCATATAATAATACGTGAAAAACTTTGCAAGAAATTGCACAAATTAGTAAATTCAGTATACGTCAGTTGACCGTAGAACTAAAAATATTGCACTTATTTGTAAAATTTTGATTTAATTAATCAATTAATTTAGTTATTTTTTTCACGAGTATATGGTATGCAATCTATTGTTTTCTATTGTCATCATCACTGCTATTTAGTACTAACTATTGATATTACTAGTTTAATACGTAGCACTGTTTGCAATATAATGCCAGATGTTCATTTAATTTCACGATAATATCGAGAATGATGTTAATTGCATTGATATATAGCTAATATAGCTAAAAGATTTATGGTGTGTTTATATTATTCATCAGCTGCCTAATCGTTTACATTGAATAATTCGAATAAATGTACGATTTTTTCCTAGGTGAAAGTACTTAAGAAAACTTAAGTGTGAAATCCGTTACCCTTAACTGGCTGATTATAGTGTAATTATAGTGTTAGTTCTGTCTATAATTGCAAATGTGGTTAAATGTGTTAATACTGAATAATGAATTGTGAACAAATTAAGTGTATTCCCGTGTGGATAAATGTAGGCTTAACATTGTTTACATTCCATTATTATAGAACTTAACTGATAGACAGAGAGACCAAATATATCATGGATCTTACCTTAGAAACAACGAAATGTATTCAACAACTTTGAGCGCCATGACTAAATCTTCAGTTCCAGTGCTTTTTCTTAATTAATTAATTAGTTTAATGGATAGTTTTCAACACGCGTTTATATAACAGTATCTTTCGCTTGGATCGATTATTTGAGCCAACTTTTCTTTTTCTTGGCAGATGACGATGTCGTATAAGCCCCGTACAAGACTTGCAACGACAGTTAGCTCGTGAGGGATAGATAAATGCTCCTATACGCACGATAGCACTCACAGTGCAGGTACATCTTGACGTGCATGAATTATAAATGATTCATTGGATTTTCTAACACATTTTCCACAGTTGAAAGACTCTGTAACAGCTGTATGTAAATCGTTTCAGTTAATGCCAACTGAGCTCGTCCAAGTGATTCGTGCGCATCATATTAAGTACTTCATATTCTCTTGTTCGCATTCAAATGTTTATGACTTATTGTAGAGAAATCACACACCCTACTGGCGAGGAAGAGGTTTATCAAACAAGCTAAAAAGTAATCAAAAGCGGCTTTAAACAAGCAATTTTTTCCTGTCAAATAAGATTTATCGTCTTGACAGATATACTAAGTAGCTTTAAATGGGCGAACAACAATATTATGTTCTTCATAAAGTTAGTTCCAACTGAATAAACACATTCCCGCTGTTTTTGAAGACCACCGACTTATTTGCTTAGGTTTAGCCCTGTTTATGACTCAGCTACTCATAGATACCATTAAACGTCCATGGGATATACATTTATATTGTTCAAGCCCGCACAGTTTTTTACATCAGTACAGTTGACTTTTGCAGATGAATTGCTCTTAAGCGAGGCTTAGCAGGGGCGGATCCTGCAGCCAAATATGTAAGGGGGCTTGACCAAATTTGGCGAATGACATTACAGAACGTGGATAAAATATTCCACTTCAAGCCGGAACATGACCAACGTTTTGAGAGGGGGCAACAGCTACAACTCCCYTTTGCCCATCCCTTAATCCATCCTTGCTAAGCCTGTGCAGATGAGCCGGGAAAATGGACTATAAGAGAATACAGAAAGTACTTACAGATTGATGTGTGTAGTTAAGTTCCACTGGGATACTACACTAGGGTGTTCACTCATCTCATGAATAGATCGCTTGCATCAGTATTTTGGACATCAGCAATGTTGTCAGTCCTCGCCCATCACTCAGCCAATGCGTGCCTTCTGTCCAATTGAGGATCGCCAAGTGGAGAAGTTCTTTGGGCGGGAAAATTCAAAATACGATATGATAAATAAATCATCACCTTCTACGTACAATCACAAGAGACAAACCTGCACAAACACTTTGACTTTTAAATTCCTTCAACATTGCTCAAAATTAGTAGTAGATGTCAGTAAATGAGCGCTCGGCTTCCACGCTTCCACACACGAAACCTAATTCGCGTTTTTGAGTACACTATTCATTTTTTTTTTCTATTTTATTAAATTCTATGTAAAGAAATTCTCAGTCGATTGATCCACAAGTATTTCTCCTAAGTATCATTTCTTTATTTTAGAAACGTTTTAGAAGATAAAACAAAAGGACTGATCGTAGATCATTGATCATTCCTGCGAGGGTTTTTTTCCGGGTTCTCCGATTTATCATAAAATCTGAAGGTTGAATGCTTAGTGTTGTTGGGTTGCCTGTGGCTTTGCGAACAAGCCACAGGTCAGCGGTTGACTTCAAAATTCAAGATGGCGGGCGCCAGGCATCTTCGTGGTACAATATATACCAGGTATAAATGACTCAATATATCATGAAAAATAGATTAATAATCAATTAGRTAAACGTATTCGAAGGTATAATTTTATGAAGGACCGTTATTTAATTTCAGAGTTTCAAACTTACTTCGTTCTGGAGCTATGAAGAGCAAGCCAGTGTGGTTTGACGTTGTTGAAGCATTTCCCCCGATAGTAGAGACCAAAATTAATAGAAAGCCAGAACCTGGTCGAGTCATGAAGCTAGAATATCCAGAGGACTATTTTAGAAGGTAAAGAAAATTAGCAAGTTCTGAATTGCGTTACCTTAGTAACGGTGTAAAGGTAACCCAAACAAAGTTATTTTAGGGAATGCCCATACTTAAATGAAGGTGGTGGGGGTGGTAGAAGAGGCATGACAGGTATCTATCAATTACATATAATTCCTAAATGACCTTACTAATGGTTGCTTGGTGTATTTCTTTGTAGAAAATTTTATAACACATTCAAGTCATATGGAACATTAGATCTGCATAAAGGGGAAAGCCCTCCAACAGACTGTGAAATGTAAGCTAACCATCCTGTTGTAAAATGGATGTTACATACCTTGGAATTAAGATTAAAGGCTCTCTGGAATCAGTTTTTGCTTGTGTTCTTTACTAGCATGGACAGTTATTGGACCATAAATCCTCCGACATGGATATCCAACACTTGAATGAATCCCRCTATTATGGACACCCAGTTAATATGGACGCTTTCTGTCGTTCATTTGATGTCCACATTAAAAAGATTTGAGTGTAGTGCTATAAACTCTGCATTATGCTGACAATTACATTAGCAGATTGTAAATAAAATACTTTCTTGTTTTGCTGTAGGTTCGTTAAAAAATGTCATGATTTTGTCAGTCAAGGAATGGAACAAGAAGAAGCATTTGAATGTACTACAAAGGATTTCATGTCAGAAACTCCCACATTGAAAAAGGTAGGTTTAACATTTACTAACCCTGAAAAGTGGGTTGTTGAAAATTATGATTATTATGTCATTCAGCAGGATTCAGGGACTACAGTCTTACTGTAGCTGAGATTGGGTTGGTGAGGGCAGGGGAGGGGAGGGATGGAAGGGTGTGCTAACCATGCTGACTGGGGAGATCTTGTTGTTTCACTCCTAAAAAATGGAGGATCAGTCCAGACAGTGGTCATTGCCCTAAATTACTCTTCTGTTTTGAAATATGTGCAATAGCACCATGTTCCATTTTCCAAGGCGTCACAGTTTTAAGTCAATTTAGCAAGATGATTATGTAACTACTATTTTCTTTGTATACTAACTCTAGATTTTAATTTTTTTCACAGCAACTACTTTCAGAAGAAGAGAATAAAAGACAGGCATCCTCTGGTGATAGTGATTCAGTTACAGATATTTATGAATTCTTAACATCTAGAGATGGTCCATACAAGCCTAAGTCAAATAAGTCAGATGAATAAACTATTTGGATACATTTTTCTTGGAGCTTAGACTTGAGGTGTGACTCTTAAACAAAAACGAATMCTGCTCCACCTGGATAAATTCTGTAAGGTATATCAACAGGAGTTGTTGTGATATGGCGTAAAAATGATTGCCCTGGAGGCTGCATAAAGTGATGTGGGTTACATTTTCCAAGAAATTTTTTCTCATGATTATGTGTACATTTGAACTTAGCATATAGGCATTATTGCCGCAAATGCCATTTTAAGAGAAAATAATTGGTTTTTCAGATAATTTCACAAAATTGTTTGGTAATTCTCATAACAAAATGTGTGGTTTTACATTCCTTTAGTTTCTTGGATTTGATGAAAATGCAGCCCTGAGAAAAAGGGTGATTTGAGTGAAAAAGAATAAATCAAAAGAGAAAAAGATTAAGGTCAATATGAATATGAAGTGCAGTGAATAGTGAAAGCAACAATACGACTGAGGAAAATTCTGAATTKAAATTTTTCAAATAAAAACTCAATATTAACTAAATCTTTCTGTCAAATGATTTCTTAAAAGCTATTTCTCAACCTATGTGATAAGCTTTTTGTTATTCCCTAGAATATAATTCTATTTCTACACTTTCAGCTAATTATCTAAAAATATCTCATATATATTTTATCATTAATAACTATTCATGAATTAGTCCCAAATTTTGCATGTGCCAAATCTATTACAAATGAGCAAAACTTGTTGTTTACATTCATTTGCATTAGATTAAGCACAAGTGAAATTCAACATTTAAACTGGGCCTTATGTATAGTGGTAAATTAGATAATTTGGCACATTGATCAATTTCCCAATTCTTCCAATTTGACATTGATATTTAATGGTTCTACCAGATGTAAAGTGTTAAGATTGTAAAATCATATGAAGCATATCTATACACACGTAAAGACAACGTGGCAAATGGAAACAGCCTAGGAAAAAAGAAATAATTTTAGCAGTTAATGTTCGGAACAGTATCCAAGCATGCTGCTCCCTCTYGTTGCCCCATTGCAGTAACTTGTGTGATCTTTTCTCAAATACTAAGTATTAAATAGAAAATAACATAACTCACCTTTGAATGGGCCACCCTTTATTGTGTGCGTGATGTCTCCTCTCCTGTCCAAATAACCAAACCACTCACCATGTTTAGGGTCTGGAAACTAAAAAAAAGAATCAATCAATCATAATAAGCCCTCTCTAACTGAATGAGAATTTTGCAAACCTGAACATTGTTTTAGAATCAAACGGGGCCATTTCTGCTGTTATCCACTAACTTTACAGTCCCTTTACAGTTTTAGTCTTGTGGATACTAGTTTGCTATAATTTCAAATCTAAGCCCCCACTCAGGAATTTTAGAAGGGGGGTGACTATTACAAAGGTTTTACCAGATATTCCAGGAAAATGTGGGTGACTGTTACTGAGAAATTTGAGCAAATGGGTGGTGACTAGTCACCTCTTTTAACACCCCTGGATCTGCCTCTGCACCTTGTACAGTTCCCTGTCATTCGCAGAATGCCCTAGTTTCATCCTTTTGAAGGAAATGGAAATAAATTAATCAGGTTTGACAACTCTGGTCATTATCCTCAGAAAAATATTGGTACCTAAACTTTTTGACTTCAATGGGATTTCAATATTTCTTCCTAAACCTTGTAATAATTAAACTCCTACCTTATTAAATGCGTAATTAAAGCATTGATCAAATCTCTGTAGAAGTCCTTCCTCCCTAGTTTTCTCATATGCCATCAGCAACGCAATCAGTGCTTCATTGTGCACCCACCAGAGCTTCATGTTCCATTCTAAAGGAACGGGACACAGACCATCAGCATCAAGAAAATAAAATATCCCTTCATGTTTCTTGTCCCAGCCAAGATCAAAAGGGGCTTTGATGAACTTATCAATTGCTGTTTGCTGAAGTTCCTTGTTGCCTTTCCTGGCAGCATATTGAAGAAGGAACCAGCCAGCCTCCATTGCATGTCCTGGGTTCATATGCCTGCCATGAATGCCAGGAAGCTCTTTGCCATCCATGGACACAGTTTCAAGGATTATTGAGCCATCTCTCTGTGACAAAGAAATGCAGATTTCAGTATAATAGATAAAGTAATACAAAGCTTTAGCATGTGGTTTACCACTAACTGCTAACGGCTAGGGATCAGGCCCAGAAACATGCCCCCAAACATGGAGAAACACTCTGCATCAATGAAATTAAATAAGGCAGCTCTACCAGCAACAACTTCGTTATGACGTTTGCTAAATGTAGAAAGTTTGATGGAAAATTCTGACGTCAAACTACACTGAGGTTTATGGTAGGAGCAAGAACATCATGCTAAAGGTCTCTGTTGTCCATCATCTGCTCACCTGGACATCTCATCCAATACCTGTTAACCTAGGCATGTTACTCATCATTTACTTACCTGCACATGTTGCAAAATTTGTTGTACTGCCCATTCCTCATCAGCTGCATAACGCTCCCTGATGGCTTCATCACAACCACAGACCTCATCTATCACACACAACAGCATCATTGGTATGGCCATTGCATTGACTAGCATCTGTCCCTCTAATTTTGTTAACCCCAAGGCTGAGTCATCTACACGAGCCCAGTAAATTATCTTGGACAGTGTTTCCTCGGCCTGTATCTAAAATCACATTAAGTAACTATGTGAAGACATTAAACTCAACATCCTTTGTTCCTATGATTTGAAGTTAGAAGATTCAGATTCAATGAGGTAAACTTTCATAGATCATGCAGGAACCAGATGGGTGATGGAAACACACGTCACCTTATACTTCTGCATATCCATTGCACGCCCAAGCTCTGCCATCGCCATAGCATAAAAACACTCGGTAAAGAGCTTCCTTTGGAGTTTGATGGGTTTTCCATCGGCAGTAACCTGGAAGTAACAGCGACCATCTTCTTGTCGACTGACATGCTTCATAAGAAATTCAGCTCCTTAACAAGCGAGAAATGTACATACCGGTAAGCACTGAAGATAGCTTGAAGTTAGTTTAAATAATTAGTAGGCTGCATCTCTTTTTTCAACCCACTTTTGAGGGTTTAGAAATCGATTGAACAACTCTTTATTATAAATCTGTGCATAAACTATATAAACTAGTTTGTATCATTTTTATTATTACCTGAGAGAGCTGCTTTCAAAACAAAGTCAGTTTTATATTCTGCAGTTTCATTGTAAAGCTTTGAATACATCCAAACCTAGTTGAATAGATATTATTACCCATGAAATAAGAAGATAGGTGTCTGGGACCCTTTTGCCACAAATAAGCAGTGCTCAAAAGTGGCCCCTTCATCACTCCAACCCCTATGTACACAGAGCATAAAATTGGTGGCTTCGTCCATGATAGAAAACCTGTTTTCAGTGTAAGAAATTTTAAGCTAAAGGGGCATGTTTTAATTGAAAAAAGCCAATATTTGGGTGAGTAGRATGAGACAAAATTAACAAAAATACGATAAAAACCATTGAAAGAGGAACCTCTCCACCCTTATGTGCAATACAAAGTACAAAACTGAGATCAATTACCTGTCTCCCCAGCATCCAGCCATACTTATCTGTGTCATATATCTTGCCATCTTGTCCAAGACAAGTAAAGAAGCCACTGTAAACATATTAATATAGCATAATTAAATTGATATCTATCACCAACTCTTGTTTAGTAGTATAGCTGGAATGGTTGGTGCAAGTTAATGTACCATTACCCATTCTGACTGTCATGAGAATGGTTTATCCAAAAATCCATTGTGTGTCTCAGCTCTTCTTCCATTCTATTTTGGTAAACCTTCAACTTCTCTAGTATTGAAGAAGGGCATTCTCCCTTTTCTATCAAATACAACAGCAAAAAAATATTTTTAAGTAGGACTACAGTTTCTTAAATTGCATTTCTTCATTTTTTAATTGATAATTTAATTATATATTATCTAAAAATATTAATCTAAATATATTCATAAACACACCAAAAACAGCCATGTTGTGATGCCCTCAGAATCAACAGACTGAGCTATTGATGGTTTTCACGGCGGCCATGTTGGAGGAACTTAACAAAAGAATTGTCAATGATAATGAGGTTTAAAGACAGGAAATTGAAACCCAGAAATAGTAGCACTCGATCTTTTCCTGTTTCAAGATTTTCCAGTTTTTCCAATAATCATATATTCTTGACTTTTCCTGTCCCCATAGAAGCAGAAAATAAGTATTCTTGATTCATATCTATAGTACTTTGGTTTGAATTTATCTTTATAAACGACTGTTTTTTTGCTTACCATTCATCTTGATCGAGCGAGTTTTGTATACTGTAGCTCTAGACAGGAAGTCCACATAAACAGGGCTCGTGTTATACGAGGTATGCACGGACAAAAAGCTAAATGGCCTCAAATCGCACTTAAACTTCGCCAGAAGACTAAACAAGTCAGAAAACAACTGTAGTAAGTATTAAAGCAAACTTTTTAGGTAAATCTGTTTTATTTTGGATTTTATATCTTTATCAAACCACGGGAACTGAAGCTTGTTTGGGCTGCCTGTGCTTGAGGTAGACTAGAAAAAGGCGCCAAAATCGAAGATGGCGGACAAAATGAAGTTTAAGGAAGGAGCTTTGGAAACCCTTGAAAAACTACAAAAAGCACACGAAAAGTAAGCGGTTTTAAAACAAAGCTATCTTATTTGATGCAATCCCTAATCTTTTATGTATTTTTATCTTGCATTTCTGTTTTGAACTGTCAAAAAATATTCGTGTTCATAGACTTGCTGCAGAACAAGATCTAGAGGCCCAAGAGAAAAAGGAGATAGCTTATTTAAAGAAAAGAGGTTAGGACAAACAAATTTTTTTTTACCTTGCTTATCTCCATCCATGGGTTGAGACAGTGGATGATATATAACTTCTTACCTGGGGAACAACATCTTCTTTCTCTAAGAATACCACAGGAACTCCAACAAAAATTTTAAAAAATGTAAGGTATAAGAAAGCCATTACATCAAGCAGGGCTTTTCATGTTTTTTCCCATAATGAAGCATCATAGAATAATTACTTTACCTTCTTTTACTTTTTATGTTGAAAAATATAATTATATATATAATGAAAAATGAATTTTAGGAAGTGGTGTTTGTCCCATTTTCTTATGCCACTTAGGAAAATAATCTTTTTTCCTCGAAATTACTGAAATTTGTTTTTGTATTTTATATAGTCCAGCAGTTGAAAAAGAAAAGGAATCAACTTTCTCAGCAGCTTCAAAATGATTATCATCAAGTAATACAAGACTATGTACAACATAGTGATAATCCAGACTATTTAAAGGAACTCACTGATTCTGAGAAAGAGGTACAGTACCTAGGTTTAAGATACTTGTTCCACCAAATTAGTTTTAGCTTGGTCAAACCTCATTTCTGGCTTAATGTTAACTACTGATCAAAATGACTGGCAAGGCAAAGATTTGACCAAACATTGTCTAATGTCTGTCCATCATTTTAAACCCTGTAGAACAAACCGAGGCCACATCAAGAGGGTAAAATACTAACAATATGTATTTTTTTCAATTACAGGAGATTTTAAATGCAGCTTACGCTTTACGGTGCAAAAAGGTAAGGTTTTGTATTGTTTTTAAATACAGTGTCAGTAATTAATCAGTAAGTCACTTTTCAACTAGTAACTCCCTTTTTCAATGAGTCAGTCACTCTGCCACTTTTTTGTAATTAATCCTTTCTTGAACTGTTTCTTTCTCCCTTCACTTTCCAGCTCAGAGATTTGTGTGATGCCTACAGACTTGCAGGAGTGTCCATTGAATCTGAATACTCCTCCAAAATTAATTTCAGACTTGACATATTCAATGGTGGTAGGTAGTAAACAGCATATCAATATCAAGCAAAACTGAAATGCAACAGGATTAGCTTTTGTACGATATATGGATCTGTAATATCCTTTGTACATTTTTATAACTATGCATTCCAGAAAACTATGTTAGCTGTCATTCAAAACGTGTGGGATTTTAGCTTTCATCATTTTATAAAATTCCTTGGTATTCTGATATTCTCAGGTCAACACCATGATACCTACTACATTGAAATACAATCTGGAGATCAACTTAAGGTAGGAAATCTAAGAAATCTTGTCTACATGTAAATTAAGAATGTTGTTATCAATTATACGTTACTGAATTATTTTTCAGATTTCAAGGCATACCCTTCCTTATGTTATCCCAATAACAGCCATTGAAAAGAACTTCCTTAACACAGATGTACAGGTATACATTCTTTTTGTTTTACTGGGTAATAATTTGCAGGACATAGATTACAAACATTGTTCTACATTCTGCTATGCATCTATTATTCACCTCTTATACATCCATTTCAAAAAAACTCTGTTGGTCGGAGTTCTGAAATCTGAGAAAGGAGCATACTGCAAGTCGTAGTACATTCACAGCTGAATGCAGTTTCCTTTTAGATTGGAATATGGAACATGACCTTTAAGTTCAAAATGTGATTTTTCGTATTTTAGCCAGAAAAAACTAAAGCACAAGAATTCTCTTTAGTCTCAGATTGCTCATTTCAGATCTTGGACCAATGTTTTTTAAAAAGTTGTATACTGCTGCTTGTACCACAGTTTTCTTTTTCACCTGCAGTCAATTGTATGGTAGGCTCTTCTCCCATCCATCAGCAACTATCAACCAGCACAGGCAATATCAAAGTTAGACCTCACCATGACGCACTCGCACTTTCTTTAACTTGTTTCAGGCATTTTTCACTGAATTGTTAAAAGAACTTAATATTTTTGCTTCACAAAAAGAAAAGGTAAATATAAGGTTGAAAATATAAGTTTTTTGTTGTTTTTAATRTAAGCCATTAAGTTGATACAGGAGTTTTCATTAACTTTGGAAAAAATAGGACAAAAGATCATGGTAGTTTAATCAAAATGAAATAATTTTGCTTGGTTACTGGAGCATTCTTTGATCTCCAACCCTTAATGAAAACCCTGTGATATCTTTGATCTGTGAGTAGTGAGCTTGTACTGTATATATGTTTATATGGCAATGTCACTTACAAAGTAATCTGATGTCATTTGGTCGTAGGATAAAGGAAAGATGCCTTAGAAGAATATCTTTATGCCAAGCAGTCCACAGATAACTTTCATCACCACTTAACATCATCACCAGCACCAATAAGTCCATCATCATCAACATTACCTCCATCATCACTATCACCATCAAAATGAACATCACAACCAACATCAACCATCACCATCATCACCTCTGAACATCACAACCAACATCAACCATCACCATCATCATCACTACCACCAATGATCGATGCTATCAACTCTACCATCAACACCACCATTAGCAACCACCACCACCATCATTTATCACCACTATCACTACAACCAGTGACTAACCATCACTAGCCACTACCACCACCAGTGCTGCAACCAGTGACCAATGTTGCCAACACCAAGAATAACAGCATCACTAACTACCAATGCCAAACTGCTTTTGTAAGGATGAGAAATAGCTGAAGGCCAAATTTGTACATAAGAAATAATAAATAGATGTTTTGTATTTGGAAATAATTTTAACTGTAAATAAAGAATTTAAACTGTAGTACAAGATTTTACATTTTTTAACATTTTATGCTTCTTAGTAGATCAAGATGTCATAAATGTCTCATATTTTTGCAGTTGTTTTCCTATGTGATATAAATAATCTTACGTTACATGCCTTTTGTACACACAACTCTTTAATTCTAGCTCTGAACTCTCAAAAATCAAAGCATCGAGTCTGAGAGTTTCACTACCATCTTCCTTTCTCTCCTATACTATTATACTATTCACTTTTATAGTTATTACAACCTTGGTAGAATGAATGACAGGCACTGTCCTCTTTTAGCAAAGTTGTATACTAGGAGTAAATGAATACTTGTCTTTTGAACATTCCAATCTTATTGTCATGCACATCACTTCCTAAGTCCAACTTCACATTACTGTATGAGGGAACTGGTTGCAATGAGTCTTGGCCTCTTTCAGAGGGATCCTTGCTGGCCTTACCCATTTCTTGCAACAATATTGTTTTGTGCCTATCCTTTGTCAATTTTCAGATACATCTTGAATGAAAGCTTTTGGCCCAAGAGTAAAAGCTTGAAGCTAAACGTTCAGATGTTGACAAAAGAGGACAACTGACTTCTGACTTGTTCATTTCGTGTTGCAAAAATTTTGACATTATATTGTTTCTGACAAGGAAAGCTTGGAGGTCGCTATTTCATCCAAAGCCTTTTGGATCAACTCCAGTAATTTTTCTGATAAAAATAAAAAAATCGTTATTGCTAAACAACATTGGATAGCAGCACATCAGAATTCAGCTCAATTTGGAGGACAATAACTGTCATGAGATAAAAAAACTTTTGTTTCGTTCTCCGATTTAATCTGCTTTGATGATGCATGCAAGGAGTCTATTGGGCAAAAAAATATTGCATGGCATTGAAATTAACTCCGATAAAAAAGGAAATAAAAAATGAAGTGTTATCTTACCTCCTTTTCTCACAACCTCCTCAAGTTTTTTGCCTGCCTCTTGGTTCTCTGCCTCCAGCTTCTGCAGACTTGCAGCCTTATTGAGAAAAAACATTGATGAAAAGTTCGGATTTGGAATGAGATTATTATGAAATATGCAATCTTTATTAGCCATTCTGACACCATAAATAGACACCTAGTACAGTAATATGTCCTCTAAAACAGTTCCATGATGTACTGCAATGCCAATGCAACCCAGTCTTTTACTTAACCTGAGAATGGCAAATTACCTGTAATTCTGGAGAACAATCTTGACTTGGTAAAGAATCAATAAGATAATCTATATCCTTGGCAGTTCTGGCAATAAGAGTTGCAAAAAGTGCTGCATGTCCTGTAGATCAAGAGGGAAAAATAAAGAAGTGGACCTAACATCTTGTAGTCAACATCACAGTCTTTGTATTGTAGCATTCTTTGTGATCAATCAAAGTCATAGACAGCATGGATAGGAGTGGAGCTGAGCCAGAGGGACCAGGATTGGGTAGTTCTAAATAGTGCCATTATATGTAATTTATTTTTTCTTGTTGGGTATCCTAAATCGTGAGCTCTGATAACCTGCGCAAGCGGGCGGTTACTATCTCTGATCATGGTCCGGTATCCTAAGATAATGGATTGATAAACAACAACAAAAATTTTAAAATGAGATCAATGAGGAAAAGATAAGTTATTTATTGTCCTAAACTTGGTCAGATAGGACAAAAACTGTGTCCTTGGCCTTGAAAATGGATGTCGGCCTAAAGGCCTTGGTCTACATATTCAAGACCTCTGGCACAGTTTTTCCTTATCTTGACTGACTGGCCAAAGTAACCAGCTATGATCCTCACCTTGTTGAATAGATTTATCATCTATAGTTGTTGCTAAAATAACAAGCATAAGAAATGTTATTATTCAAAAGAAAAACTGCACTTTTGAAGGCTGTTTCTGCATTTAGAGAGGGGGGGACACTGTATTTGATTTATTTTTCATCTTTCATTTCCTTCTAAGCTCTAAAAGTTGGTATTAGACAGGCACTTAACCCTCCCCAACCAATAAATCTTACATGTTTTGAGACTTACATCTTTCGAAGCCAGGAAACTGACCAGGTTTGGCACTTTGTTGGAGAATACCAATACTATTACAGAACTGATCAGCAAGCTAAAGGTAGAAACAGTCAATGAAAGTCAGAATTCAAGCTTTATAAAAACCCGGAGTAGTCAATCGATAAAAATCGATATCGATTTTGCCAAGCGATAAATCAATAACAATCGATACCGCTGATTTGATTGATATCGATTGTATCGATCAATCGTTAAAAATCGAACTCACACTAAATTTTTGTATCGATTGATTGATTATATACATATCGATTTTTTTTTATTTATGTCTTGAACAATTTCTATCGATGATCGTACGAGGGCCGTGTGGCTACGGATTTACACCACCGGMAATTACTCTTTCGTAACCATAGCTTGACACWAACTAGGAGTTTGTTATAGTGATCAGTGAACAGACAGCAAAAGTACTTGGATAATTAGCTGCCTGATCTACATATTATTACTTGTGAATTAATAGTTATAAAATCTATTGCACTATCATCGATATTTTCGAATACTTTCCGTGAAATAAAGCTGATTATATGATTGTACTCATTATTGGATCGAATTAAAGCTGTCAAATCTTGATCGATAAAAATCGAACTCACACCAATTTTTTTTATCGATTTTAAACGATTTCCCATAAAAATCGATACAAATCAGCTGATTTCTATCGATTTTTATCGATTGACTACTCCGGGATAAAAAGCAATCAGAAAAGTAAAGTTGTCAAAATCCAAGACTTTCGAATTTTAAAAATATTCATGAACAACATCAAAATAGTAGATTACTAAATAAGACAAAAATAACAACAATGTTGACTTATACAAGTAACCGAGCCCAAGAAAAGTGAACAAACCTGGTTTAGAGCATCTTGTAGTTGTGTTATTCTGTCCGCCATCTTCCCTTGGTACAACTAAGTTACCACAGGGACCCCACACCCCTCATTCATCAAATGCTTTTATCTAACGTTATTTTACTCATTCGAATTCGTTGAAATAATCCCCCAATAATTTATCTATGTTCTCCATATTATAGGCTTCCTTCCTTTCTTTCTTGATGCTATAAAATCGTGATGCTTTAAAATCTATCAATAATTTTTCACTTTTTCTTATCAAAGTACATATATCTACAAATGGTCTCCCTGTCTTGTACCCCTTGAACACGTGATAGTCTCCCCCGCAGCATTAGTATATAAAGCCCACGTGCCCTCGATTCTTCCTCTCGTTTTTACAAAGCACAGGTTTTGTAAATCGTTCAAATTACGATCTTATTTTCAAAGCGTGCACTACGTTTCGTGTCAAAAAACGACTTAAAAAGTGAGTATATCTATTCTTTAATCAATTATCTCGCACTCTGAGGCGAGAAAGAGATCAAAATGGTCAGAAATCCGTGAAAATTCTGAGTCAAAAGTCGTGATGAATTCTGAATCGCTGCTCATGAAATATTCTTTTGTATATCATTATCGGAACTGTTTGAACGACATATGGCTTTTTAGGAGTTACATTTTCTTCATAATGATTCAAACAACTTAGGCAACAAGTGCGTGTACACATGCAAAGCTTGTTGTAAGACTTGTGTGGTGGGCAACTGAAAAATAACCCTTTTTTATGAACTGCTAGTTAAAATTAGTCATAATATAAGCTTAAGCTTGTTACAAAATAAACTTACCTTTTTTTATTCTCTGGATATTTCACAAAGATACACATTTCATGAAAATGTATGAATGTTTTAGGTATGCACAGGTAGCCCATACAAAAATTATTTCATGTTCAATACTCCTTTTTACACTTCCATTTCAGTGACGTGCCACAAATAATAGTTCCAAGCCAAGTTTGGAGTTGCCGCGCATGATAAACTGTAGTTTTGCTATGTGTGGAAACTCCAGCCTCGGCTAGGAACTATTATTCATGGTCACTGAATGAAACTGTAAAATGGAGTATTGTCGGACTTCTGATTGGTGGATTTGTAATAAGGAGATCTAGTATGTTCCTTAAGAAAGCAAGTGCCAAAGATTCTGCTTTACAAGCAAAACTACAGTCTTTTAACATTATCATATATCCTCGCCTATATGTAAGACACATATAGGGCGCACCCCTATATTTGTCTTATATGGGATATACCATAACAGCAAAGTTAACAATGACATTAATGCGCTTCCAGATGCGTTACGTGGCCGCTTATTTGCTAGCTAGCCTTGGAGGCAACAAGGACCCTTCTGCCAGTGACATTGAGGCTATCCTCGACACTGTCGGCATTGATGTTGATAAGGAACGATTACAGAAAGTTATAGCAGAGCTGTCTGGCAAGAACATCAATGAGGTAATGAGACTTCCTTAGCAAGCACATCCTTAGCAAGTTACCACTGGGTAGGAACCATGGAATAGTTTAGCTAGCCCCCTCCACCCCCCAATATCCAAGTGACAGACCCACTGTTATGCAAATAGTAAACTATATTTTCCACTCTAAGCCCCCTAACTTTTTATGGTTCCTAAGGTGTAGAAGTATTTTTTTTTTCAAGCAAAAGCCACATTTAATAGTTATTTTGCAACAAACAGTCACATGCTGATATATGACTCTGATAATGAATCAATTTGGCTCAGGGTCTCTTGGGGAAGGCTCTGCTGGATGGCAAACAAACTTGAAACTGCTTTGTATCTTGAAATCGAAAGTATCTTGTAAAGAAAAAAAGTATTTTTGAAAAGGTTTTGGATACAATATTAGTAATCCGGCCAAAAATCTTTAAATAAAGGAAGTCCAAATTTTTCGTTATCCAGAAACAATCATGTGTAAAAAGGCCTATTGACATAACAAGTATCCTGCTCAGTACTAGACAGATTGACAAGTTTCCCTTTAAAGTAATGATATACAGTTTGTGCTAGTACCAACACCCATACAAACCACTAGGCATTAACAGTAAAGGATATGTGAGCAAAAGCTGTGACTATGTAATTTGTGATATGAATATGTCTGTCTTCCTCCTGCAGTTAATTGAGCAAGGTAAAGAGAAGCTTGCTGCCGTTCCAACAGGAGGTGCTGTGGCTGCCGGTGGTGCTGCAGCTGGTGATGCTGGAGGAGCTGCCGAAGCCAAGGAGGAGAAGAAGGAAGAGAAGAAAGAGGAGTCTGAGGAATCTGATGATGATATGGGCTTTGGTCTATTTGATTAAATCCTTAAACATTAAACAGTCCAAATAATAAAGGTGTTCTTGTAAAGCCTATATCTTGTCATACTCATTTCTGGCCTGGCATACCTAGTTTTATCTAATGTTCGCAGAATTAAGAAGAGTGGAATAGATTAGCTTTAACTTACCAAAACTCAGTTAGCCAAGAATCCGGTGAAAGAGAATGCAACCCTTACCACCATACCTCGTTGCCTGTGACAAAACAGCCTTATAAAGGGTTCCTTTCCGTAAGTATTGTGACATGCATGATGCAAAACTGTAGCACAGAGAAAAGCGCAAGTTTGCAACTTTTTTCTTTGAAGCATTTCATTATCTTTTGGCTAACATATTAAAATATACAGAGTTTATAGGCCTCTGCATGCATATTATAATACAGGGAACCCAGTGAACGCCTAAAGAGGGCGTCCTTTTCCAAAATTGCGGCTCTTTTTTTAATGAAGATATTTGCCAACACGGGATGGATGGATGGATAAATAAAGACTGCGCTGACGATTGACCCTCGAGGGCCAGAGACGAGCGGGATTAATGATCAAGTTCACTGGCCAGTACAAGGTGTAAGTTTGTATCTTGCTTTATATTGTGGAAGCGAGTTGTTTTGTGTCGTTTTGTTGTGTCGTGTTGGGTTGTGGTGTGGTGTGTTGTTCTGTTTCGTGTTGATTGCTGTTGGTTGGTTGGTGTTGTGAGGCCTTTCGAATCAAGAAGGCTTCCTATATAGCTTATATGCACTTTCAGCTTTTCAACTGATTAAGTTGGAAATGTACAGAACTGCTCTGACAGATTTTCTTCAAATTTTCTGAAGCTTGAGCAAAGTATTCATTCTCCAAGATTTCAAGCGCGATTTAGAAATTTAGGTCAAAAAATGGAAAAAAATGGGCAATAAAGCACACTCTGCACCAATACTTAACAGCAGTTTTATATTAAATCTGAATTCTGTAAAAACATGCTCATTCAAAAATTTCGTCTTTTTTCTTAAAACCTTAATAAATTGTTTGCGTCCGCATATATTTGCGATTTGAAGTTGCGAAATAGCGCGTCGAGAAAACCCCATTATCGAGCCACCTTAATGAACTAAGAGGATAATGACGCCTGATTCAGGAACGGATTCAGTCAATTCCATTATCGAGTCGGATTTTGGAGTCTTACTGGAATCAAACCTATCATTTGTTTTCTCTCAAGCTTGATAAGCAATAAAAGTTCGATTATTTTCAAATTAAAATAGCAAAACAGGAACGATTTCGTATATACACCAAAATGAAGGAAACATTAATTTCGGTGACTCATTTTTCGGAATATTATCCTTCAATATTTGGAGAGAGAATATTTGAAGGACACTTACAGGAAGTTTATTGATAAGCTGGAAGGAAAGGCGTATGAGTACCCCCCTCTAAAATCATTAAATAGAAAACGTACCCCCCTCTTTCAACGGCTACAAGGGATTTCTACAGTTATGAGCTCCCTGTAGTACAGGAGCAACAGAAACTCCACAATAGTAATACTTTTATTTGAATCCGTGAAACGTCCTACGCGTTTTTGAAAATCTAAATGCGTACGTCCCCAACCCTCAAATTCGGCCATTACAAAAATGTACCCCAAATTTTTACTGGTTTTTAAANCCCCCCCCCCCCCCCCGGACCTTGAAACAATGAGAATGCATGATCGAAATAGCAGTGATATTCTGGCTGGGAACTGCTTCTCAGTTTACCCTTTCGTCAGTGTTTTGACGAGGGATGTGGGATAATGGATCACAGCAGAGGGATTGAAATCGTATAAATAAATTCAGGGATCAAGAGATTTTGGAATCGGGGATCAAAATTTTGTGTACGAATTTGGGATCAAATAGAATGATATCCCTTGTCACTACCCTGTTAGCGTTGTAATTTTGTAAAAACACTTCTGCTCTCTTGGACTCATTCGATTTACTCATTTCCAATCATTGACCTTGATTTTCATTTAGAACTGGATCATCTAGTTAGAAAACTTGTTTTTATAATCAGTATCTTTACTACGTAGATTTGCGTAGAATTTAGGAACAGTGGGACTTATTAAATGTGATGACCAGTTCTTCCGAACCCTATACTCGATGAAATACGAATATAAAGGAAACAAATATGGGGCACTTAAATTTGAAACACGATATATAATAAATTTGAAGGTTGTTTCAACTATTCCCCAAACGTGGTTAGATATATTTTCATATCGTTAATGGATTAAAAACACGCAGTGGAGCAGATGTAGTTGCCCGCCAACTAAGTTCCCAAATTAATTTGCACCTCATTTTTATCACTTTCATTAATTTACTTTTGTCTTTTGTCAATCAAAATCAAATTTGCCACCAAAACAGACATCGTTTTCACGCATTTCAGTTGTGTGGCATTGAAATACATTGTACATCGATACTTCATTGAAAGAAAGGCGTCAAGTTTCAGTGAATCTAATTTGGCTTTTCCACTTTCTTTCAGTTTGATTAGATCTTAACGCGGATTATCATCATTCCAAGTTTTCGCACAAGTTCTGGAAAATGACAGGTATTTTGCTAACGTTTTTATATTATACGTCCATATCATAAACATATAGATATCACATGTATTTTGTTTTTCAAGCAATTTCCCTCGGAAAAAAATTCCGAGTTCCACAGGCGAAAAAATTGCTTAAAGAAACATGAAATACATCTTTGATAATAAACATCCAAGCAGCAAAAAAATACTTATTATAGATATTATTTAGTTTAAAAAACCTTTCTCGTGGCTTGGATAACAGTTGACCGATGAATCCGACTAAAAAAAAAAAGGTCCCCCCCCAAAGAGTTTCTCATCACGACATTACGAGTCGACATCCCAGTGTGAGCCAGAAGGGGGGTTTATTTATCTTACTGACCCAACGATAGAACTGATTCTGCTTGCTGAAATGAGAAAGAAACCCATGTCTTTTATTTTTATTTTTTCAATGTGCTTTCAATTCAATACCTCGGACAGCGAGCGAAAACATTTCTTTAATCAAGCTAGCTAGCTAGCTATTGCTTTGTCTAGCTTGAAAAAGCTTATATAATAAGGGCCATGCTCAGTCATTTCATGCTGAGAAACAAGAAAACCATTAGAGTTAAACGTACGAGCAGAAAGTACATACATTATTTCGTTAAATACTTTATTGGAAGGAAGCAAGGTAATTAGGGATTTATGAGTCACGAAAAAATGACTGAAAAATGCAATAGAAACAGGTAAACATAGATCGAAGCATTTATTTATTAGACTAGACATTCAATACTTTTTCCTAAAAGCAAAATACCTTTTTTGACAGCAGGGAGAGGAAGTATTATGCTTTATGCTTTTAGTACTAACTGAACTAACATAATTTTTTCATCGAATTCCTTGAGGGCTTTTTTAGGCCGTTCAAGTCATTGACTGTTCTTGAATTAGTGTAGGCATAAGTGAAAATGATAAAAATACCATATAAGGTAAGCTCTCCCAACGAATCAGAACGCAAGATTTATGGGAGTTATTTTATAATTCAGTCTAATGATGAGATTATTTAAACAAGTAACAGCTGACATGTACAGACAGTCAGTTTAGACAGACAGGCAGACTGCTATTTGGATAGACCATGGAGCGCTCCATTAACTCACTATAAACAAACAGACAAAAAGACCAACATCAAGAGAAAATGAACTAAGAGAAGGAATCCCCGTGCCCCATCATGTGATCACTTTGATGCTATTTTTAGAATCATTGATGCTATTTTTAGCTCGTTACCATGCCCGCGCGATAATCATGCTTCCTAATTTAATGCCTCGTTTTAGGACACGAAAAGCGACAAAAACACAGGCTTTTGTCTCCTGCAAGACTAGAAGCCGCCTACCCCCAAGAAATCAACCAATCAGATTCTTCGCTCAAAATATCTCCAAGCTAAAAATAGCATTAAGTTTGCACATGATGGTTACAAGGCTATATAGGTAGGATTCCTTCTCTTAGTTCATATTCTCTTGCCAACATACAAGGAAGCAGACAGCAGATGTCTGTTAACTAAGGCATAAATCAATTGTATCTCTAGGGCCCAACATCAACAACACGACTACTACTACATGTGTATCAGACCAAGCCCAACGGCGTCGAAGAGCCCGTGGAATCATTTATCCTACGAGCCGTGATCATGAGCTTAATCCTCTTTCTTGCCTTCGTTGGTAACATCATACTTTATCGCAGTGCTACGAAAATGTCTAATAGACCCTTTACATACAACCTCGTCAGTAATCTCGCCCTTGCAGAGATCGTCTTAACAGTGAGCTACCCATTTATCTTTCATTACACGTGCGAGCCGTGGTCATGGGTGTTTGGGGAGTTCATGTGCAAGGTTGTCAACCCCTTGGTCATGTGTAGTACACTGGTTATAACCTTCACGTTGGCCGTCATCGCTTTGTATCGTTGCCTTATCTTGATTCAACCGCGAAAACAACGACCCTCTAAACGTGCTGCGTATCTCGTAATTCTTTGTTCTTGGATCTGGGGCGTTGCACTATCCATGCCAGCGTTCATTACACGTGCTATAGCAGAGGTAGAAGTCTGTGGACCCAAAATCCTGCTCTTGTGCTTGGAAGTGTTCCCAAACTATGAGATGAGTCACAACTACTCGATTGCTTTGTTCGTGCTGCAGTTTGTCGTTCCATTCCTTGTTATGGTGTTTGTTTTCTTATGGCATAGTCATCTTCAAAGTCAAAAAACACATGAAGAAAACGAAACAAACTGAGATGCATGAAGCTGGTGATGGCAATGGATTACCATCGTCAACAAACATGTCCGCAACGAACGGAAAATCCGGTGAAACTACAAGTAATGAACTGGATAATGAAAACCGACGAGAAAGCAATAGAATTCAACACCTTGAATCAGATTTACTAAAGATGATATATATAATCATTCTCATCTTTTTTCTTTGTTATTTGCCTTCACATATTGTTTTTATTAGCGGGGAGCTGGAATGGTTCTCGCTTGAAGATTGGAAATACAACTTTATATTGTTGCGATATACTGATATTCTACATGCTC